GGGAGATATACAAGTTACTCTTTAGGTAGGAATAATCATAAATTGAAACAGAAAGTTCATGGAGCTGGGGAGAGGATTTTCCATCCTCTTGGGACAACTGACCATGTTAACAAGGAGGAATAATTTGTACCCAAGCCCTTGTCAAGTTACCTTATTAACAACTTAAAAACCATCTGAGAAATAGTTTACATTAGTGAGAAAATCAGCTGCACAGGGATGGGCCCAGCTGCTGCAGCTTTAAATTTGCCACTTTGTTTCTTAACAAGGGATTTGTCCCTATACACTCCAAAATATTACAGCATTGTAGCTAACTTGGTGGGTTAATGGATGCTAAGCCTGCATTTAGTTATGTATGCTTTCTAAACATGCCTTGTTGTCAATGAAAAGTAACGGGCCATTAAACTGCTGATGACCCTAAAATGTTTAAATAAGCCCTAATGAAGATCCTTATTCCATCATATTGTTGTTTATATCCATGCAGTACTTGGTAAGAGGCCAGTAATCAGAGTTTAAATAGGAGCAGTTATGCAGCAGCAACACAGGCTTTATTTTATTTCCTTCCTATCATAGTTTCAGGAAAGTATATCTTTGTTCAAATGCTCTTCCTTCAAGGTGCAAGCTGCACTGATTTTGCTCAGCAAGAGAGGGAGACAAAGCTCACAGAGAAGCACAATTTGTCCCTCAAACCGTTAAATGAATGTAAAAAAAAATACTTGAGTTTATTAGTGTGGTATTTAAGCTTAACACTGCTTAGTGATTATTTACTAATTAACAATCAGTTTACTAAATTATTTTCTATGTCAGCTTCTCCTACTGCTAGTATCAGAGATGCACCAGATGGCAGTCAATGACTTATATATGTGGCTCAAACACTATTTTCAGTTTTCTACTTTGTCTCTCATTCCAAGCAGGAGGTTCTATCATTGAAAATGGGGACCCCAAATTGTGCCTGGCCATGAAAGCATACCCCTGCAAGTGTGTATTCTATCGAAATGCACAGGATGGGGCTGCCATTTGAATCTTCTGTGAGCACTACTTTATGGGCTGGATCTGAAAAAGCAGAATATAACATCTGAGTTATCCAAAAGGCCCCACTGCCAAGAGCAATCTTTTTCTGAGATGGAAAGCACCTTTCGTGAGAAACAGATGGTAAAAGATGAGATTAGAGCAGCTACCTATGCCTTCCAGGATCTGTTCCCTTAGTCATGGAGCGCTCTGCTCAGTCAGAGCACACAGTATTTGTGTGGTTTCTCTTCCAACAACAGTAGGGTATGAAAATAGCTCAGTATTAGCAAGCCATCATGTTGCCAAAGTCTATTTGCACAAGCTTAGTGTCCAAATCATTATCTCTTATTTTATCCAAATCATGGATTTTTGCTATGAATTCTCTTCCCATGCCTCCAACTCTGCACCCTAGTTCTTAGAAATTCAGTTTCACTTGATTCAAACAATGCTTACAATGATTCCAGTGCATCAGAAGGTTAGGATTCAGATCATACCTAGCCTATGCTTAGTAGGAATAAGGGACATACAAGTAGCTTGCAAAACGGGCAAAAGCAGAATTGTGTCACTACCACTGGCAATAATGCTGTTCCAGTTAAGTCTTTAGGATTCCTATTTATTTGGAGGTAAGCAGAACACAGAGTTTACTCACAGACACCCAGGGATGGCTTAGGATCTGTGCTGCCGTATAGCGAGCTTCTACATTTACATGTAGCATCAGACTAATTAACTCCTGGAAAACAAAGATATGAGAAAGAACATCAGCATTAAACTGTGAGTCATCCAGCATTTGCATGGAGCTCTTCTAACATTTACACTGGAGTTTCTCTAATATCTCAGGGAAATCCTGGCCCTACTTGACTTCAGTAGTGCCAGAGGATTTCATCCTCTGGGTTTACAGTCTGATGGGAACTGTAGGTAATATAACTAACAAGTATCCTTATTGCAATCATGCTCACTTGCTCTTCTGAAAATAGCTAAACAAGAAACACTCTAAACAGCAACTATAATACACTAATTTTTTTCTGAATGTTGATGCAGGCAGCAAGAATAGAAAACTTGGGATGGTGCTCCATTTTCACAGCACCCTCTCTGCACATACTCAAAAAAATTGTGCATTTTTTTTCTTATTGGATGAGTAACGTGAGTAATTTACAGACGGAGATGTGGCTGACAGGGCTGTGAGGTAACCTTCTCTGACAGAGGCAGAAACAAAATGCACATGAAGAGCACCAGCTTTTATACCAAATGGCAAGTGCTTTTTTGAGCCTGCAGGGATTGTTTAAGCTGTCTAGAGGGTCTATAAACCAGCATGAGACATGCTTTTCATTTTTTGATAAGCAATATCACTGGAATCATTTGGTAAAGGAAAAAAAATCAATCTGATGATGCTATTCATTTACTCAGTAACATCTTGAGAATGAAAGCTCCTCATCAGCACAAGACTGCTCTAAAGTGGCTGACTATAATCATGCCTGAAGAAGGGTGCTTGTGCCCAAAAGCTTACAAATCAAGAATTTTTTTTGCAAAAATCTAGTTGGTCTAATAAAAGATGTCACCTTTACCACGAGTTCTGATTCCTTTTGAGTCTAATCATTATACAGCAGGGGCTGTGTTAGTGGCATATAACATGGGCTAGATTCTCAGCCCCACAGGGCCTCTTACATTGCTCTTGAGGCACAAAGGGCCTTCAGCCACCCTTTGCCATTAACTATGGATCCCTCTGCCCTTTCCCTACATCATGAAGGAGGTCTTCACTTAGCTGTGTCCCCTACACTGGCTCTGAGCTAAAGAAAAAAAAAGGATGTGCCTTTAAAAGCTCAGCATGTGATTAAGTTACTCCCAATGACTTCAAATAAACTCAAGTGCTACTCTGAAGCAGGATCTTCAGAGTATGTAAAAGCTATAAAACAGATGTTCCTGGGTTTGCATATTTCTGTGGCTCTCCCAATAGTAGTATGACAGTCTGGGGTACTGAAAAAAGGCAAGTCTTAAGAGGTTAGTCAAGCAAAGCATGCAGTGAAATTATAAGTACTGTGGACAAAATTCTATTTATTTCTCTTTGTGCATCTAAATGGCAGTTTTCCAGCTGTGTACCTGGCCTTTTTTGGCCCTGTTACTACACTGGGGATGCATAAGAATGTGTACGTAGAGTGAGCATATACTCTCTAGGCTACGCACTGGCCAGGAATATACGTGCATTAGTTGAAGGGGAAACTCTCTCAATATTTTATTCCAAGGGTTGAGTGGTTAGTTAGGGCTTTTACCCAGGAAGCAAATGTTCTGGGCCCCTTTGAAGAGAGAGGGATTGAAGCAGCAATTCTGCTCCCAAGTTAAACATTATTCATCTTTCTTCCCTAGCCACACTGCCTGCTGAATTGAATAGTCTCTGACTAAAATTGATGAAGAACAGTGAAAGGGGGAATTAAATTTTGGCACCACTGGAAGCCAGAGCCCATTTCCTCAACAGGAGCTATTTGACTGAGCCACACACTCCCTAGCTTGCTCTCTTCCTCTGGGACTCATATATCTCCTTCTCCTGGCTGCCCAGCTGGCCAGCTTCAAAAAGGTCAGCTGTGATATGATGCTTCAAGTCCTGTGCTGGAAAAAATCTACTTTGGGCAAAGCTAGTGTTTCCTGGACAAGTGCTCTAATGGCAACATTTTCATGAATTGGGCTGCCTAGCTAGTATATACTCTACTCTATGAGCACTTGGTGGACATAAGTGTCCACAGTGCAGGGGAAACAGAATCAATATTTGCATTTAAATACCAAAAAATGCCACTCATGCCCCTAATAAGCTGCCATTCAGGCACACAAAAGGAAAGAGAATTCTGCCCTATGTGTAGCTTTTCATCTCAAATGCTCATTGCTTCTTCAGTCCTTTTCCAGAGCAGATTGCAATTGACAAGGATTGTTCCAGAGCAGTTTCCAGTCACTTAAGAGAAACCCCCCCCATAAAACTCCTCCAATATCAAATACTTTCATTAAAAGTAAACACCTCCATTTTTCTAAAGTGCCTATAGCCGAAGGGTCATCTCTCTTTCTTCATATTGTAATCGGGGAGATCTCTTCTGATAGAAAGAAACAATATGGCCAGGTACAGACATTACTTTTACCAGTATAAGTGATCAGAAACAGGTCTATACCCGTAACAGAACACATGTTCAGCACACGCAGACTGGTTAGAAATGGTAGATCTGGGTCTATGATTTGCACCTCCACCACCAAAGGGTGAATGTATATTCTGTTAGCCACCAATCTAAGCTATGCCACTTACAGAAAACTGCATAACTTAGATCGATTCCACTTTGGGCTTTTTGAGTGTCTGTACCTAGCCTATATGCGCAGTAGAGAGGTTGTTGCTCATCATTTACTTCTGGAAAATAACCTCCTCAGCAATATCATTCAGTAAAAAGATGAACCAGAGATACAGGCCCAGATTTTTCAGAGTAGCTGAGCTGTACTCGGTTCAAAAACTATTTTTGTGCCACCCCAATCCTGAAGCTGTTAAACACTAACTTGACAGCTGCTCTGTTTCATATCAGATGAGCCATGAGCTCATTCTGGCAGTGGGAGACAGGCCTGGCCACCACCATGCCCCAGTCTTTAAGCTGCAGCAGTCAGCAGAGGGGCAATGTAGTGAAAGCTGTGTGAGGGTTCTCCTAGGACAGTGGGGGCCAGCCTTTTTGATAGGTGCCACAAATTAGCCTCAGACTCTACCTGAGTGCCACTCCAAACCCCTAGCCCTGTTGATCTTCCTGCTCTGTGTGCTGCTGTGCTACTTGACCCCTCCCCAATATGCTGCCTATTACACACAGTAGTCACATGCCACCTGCCCACATAACCTACAGTTAGCCCCCCCAGTCCTCAGATACAAGAGTTTCTCAGCAAATGGCTGCAGGGCTGCTATGTGCTCTAGGCCTATTATAAAGGCAAATTAAAATGATGTTCTTCTTACATAACCTTTTAAAAAAGGGCATGGAAAAGTCAGAGAGGGTTTAGAGGACGGTGACAAAAATGATATAAAGGGCTTGGAAGACATGAGGATACGTTAAAGGAAATAGGCATCATCAGCTTATCGAAAGAGCACTTAAGTGGGGGAATGATGGAACTCTTCAAATATCTGATGGGCTGCCATAAAGATGAGGGAGAATGCCTTTTGTCTCTAGCTGCAAAGAGCAGGATGTGGACCAACGACTTGACGATGCAACAAATAAGTTTAAATTGGTTATCAAGAAAATCTTCTTCACTGTTAGAACAGTGAGGCAGTGGAACAGGTTAGCGAAGCTGTGGACTCTATCATTGGAGATGTTCAAGAAGAGGTTGGGCAAACACTGGTCAGGAATGATCTAAGAGTAGCTATGCCTATGCTATGCTATGCTATGTTAATTAAGGCCATGCCTCTGGGCCTTGCTGGCTGTTGCATAGGGCCAAGTGGGAATATTTTCCCCCTCCTATTGCTAAACAGTAGGGGTTTTCATAGATTTCATAGACATTAGGGCTGGAAGGGACCGTGGCAGATCATCAAGTCCAGCCCCCCACCCAAAGGGCAGGAAGACAGCTGGGGTCATAGGATCCCTGCAAGATAAGATTCCAATTTGCTCTTGAAGGTGTTCAATGTAGGTGCTTGAACCACCTCCAATGGCAGGCTGTTCCAGACCTTAGGGGCTCAGACAGTAAAGAAATTCTTTCTTATGTCCAGCCTGAAACGGTCTTGTAGTAGTTTATGGCCATTCAACGTCATCATCCCTGGGGGCGCTTTGGTGAACAAATGTTCCCCCAGATCCTTATGAGCACCCCTGATAAACTTGTAGGTGGCCATCAGATTACCCCTGAGCCTGCGCTTTTCCAGGCTAAAGAGCCC